AATATGACCTAGCCCTATGACACACGGGACCCAAACTTTCGACTGGTTTACTATGGAAGCTGCCACTTTTATCCTTTGACTTAACTGGGTCTAGTCTCAAGGCAGCAATGGCTGTGCTTGCCTTATCACAGACAAGTTGTTCTCATTCGTCATTGAAATGCCACAGGACTACGTGCCGTTTCATGGATGACGGGTTTGCCGAGCCCACTCCTAGCCATGTTCTTACAGTACCCACCACTGACTCTCTACGGCTGTTAATGCATCATGGCTGATCTGCATATCTGGGGGTCGTTCTCCTATCCGCATTCTGTCGACAAGTCACATGGTCAGCAGCTAAACTCACAAGTATTATCATTAGAAATGTGGAATCACGAGCGATCTTTTAACTTAACACTGGTTGGATGGTGCTGCCGTTTGAGGTAGAGGAACCGAACTAGTTAAATTGTTCGATCTCCTCAGCGATTTCACGATCCGGCGCCAGATGGCTTCCTCATATCGTCAGACTTGTTAGCTTTAATAGAAGGGCAGTCTTATGCCGCTATGTTTGTTTGGGATCTCGAGTTCTTGAGTCAAAATTACTCGGCGCCCAGGGAACCTAAATCATACTTGTCGTGGTTTCTTCTTGCTGTGGTATCGTTTGTGATGTGTTTATCAATAAAACCGTTTTTGCCATCGATGATTGACGAACGCTGAAAGTTTAGATTTTGCCACTTTAAAACCGTCATAAACCTTTTGCCTCATATTCTGTTGTTTATCGTTGTGCTTGTTTGTTTTTACTCAGTTCTGGAAGTTTAGAGGTGGTTTGCAAGCTGCCAAATATTCAAAAAGTATCGCTGACGACAAACGGCTTAGTGTTGAGTCGCCTGCTGACCGAACTGGTCGAAGCTGGTCTGAACGGTCTTAACATCAGCTTGGATTCGTTGGTGGAACAGAAATTTGAATTTCTTACTAGACGTAAAGGTTGGACAAACGTTTGGAACTCAGTTGTTTTGGCTGAGAAACTTTTCTCACCCCTGAAGGTAGCGCTTTTCATTAATACCTGCAGTCAAAATACTTCCTCTCTGGGTATAGTTATCGGATGCATATAAATTAATAAGATTTTCTAGCAGAGTTATTTTGAATATTATTTTTTAAATGAAAACAATCGTTTTAAACGCCAGCCTCATAGTACAGAATTATCAATCTAAGACAAAGATAAAGATCCTTTCTTCTTTTTCCAAATATGTTCTTTTAAACAGGAAATCTCTGTTGGAGTTAGCCGCCTTCACACCTTCGATCCTTCCGCGCAGTTATATGTCGTTTTTTTTTAATGATATCGCGTCATCCTCTTTTTCGTCTTGCCTTTGTTCTCTTCCCCGCATTTGTCATTGCTTTGACCATATTTTGAGTGTACTCATTTGATCCTCTTTTTAAGTGACCAATCCCACGGTGCTGCGATCAGCTATAATTGGGATGTCATGCTTGTCACGTGATGATCGTGTTTTCAGAACTACGTTTTTATGGTCCTGTTCCAAGTTATCATTATTATCGTCAGTCAGCATTACTGCTGTTACATGGCTATCCCTTTAGTCTCTGCGCGCGGCGACTCTTTGAGTTGGATAACAATAATAATCGGACTGATAACAATCAGGGACAGATGTTTCCGAGATAGTCGACATTCCAACGCCGCATATAGATAACGATGTGGCCATAAGGAAACGGCCGTAATGTTTCGAAGATGATTCGCCCGCAAGGCATGATAGGGAAAGAACCGCCTCCACCAAACATCTGGTTGGTAGAACGATCGGTAAGAAACCATCGGCTTCATCTCTGGGTGGCTAACTGTTGTACAATCAGGAAGGAACCGTCCATTCTTGGAGACTCTTTATATGGATAAATATGATCTACGAAATAAACTTATGGTTATGGAGCAGCAATCGAGTGGCACATTATTATTACCTTTACCATAAGC